AGAAGAAGAAGAAGAAGAAGAAGAAGAAGAAGAAGAAGAAGAAGAAGAAGAAGAAGAAGAAGAAGAAGAAGAAGAAGAAGAAGAAGAAGATTGACGTTACATTGTGAGAAAATCATTTCTGATGACGAATCGCTAACCCGCCGGGCCACATTTTTAAAATACCGATCCTTCTATCTCCAGCTCCCAAACCAAATATAGTACAGATATGCTTGCAGAGCTAATGCTTGTAAGACGAAGGACGATATTGAATTGATATAACATGATAGCTGACAAAGAGACAGACAGACAGACCTATTTCGTAAAGAGATATGCCGCAAACACTGTTGACATGAAAATTGCGACGGCTGGATTTTGCTCAAGAGAGTGATAGAAACTATTAGATCTAGAGATCTAGATGAAACTAAGTGTATTTGAATGGCTTAACCTACACGGACTCTGAAACGTTTTGTTTTGTTTTTGTATGTTTTTTTTTTCTTTGGGCGGTGAGGCCGGAAGGAAAAAAAAGGGGGGGGGGGTAATTAACGATGTAGGTATTTTAATCGGTTCAATTTAGATGATTTAGCTAACAAACTTAGACCTGTGTCTGTGAGGGCCGATCTGGGATACAACGAACCAGCAATAAGACTGAGATGCCAGATGATAAATTGTCCGTCACTCGGGTCTTCGGCATGCCATAGCGAAGCGGCCAACTGCTAGACCACTAGATCTAACACCGGTGACAAAAAAGCGGATTTACTGTTTCCACAGGGGTTGGCTTTTGCATTAAAAGCACAACCCTATAATTTAAACGAATGTTTTTCCCATTTTAGCCTCTTCGGAATGGGATTCACATTTCACGAAAACAAGATCACATCAAGGGGTAGTCTACTTTATCTCTTTGTAGCAGGCGAGGGAGGCCTTCAAAGAGGACAGGGAAGGGAGCGGTTGGTGCAAACCTTGTCGTAATCGTAGACTGGAAGTAAAATAACGTCGGGGTTTTCTTTTAAACAGTGCGGTTGTAAAAGTAAACTTGCGCTACCCGTTCAGAGATTACTTTATCTAATAGGCATTTCCAGACTCTCCTATTCCAGTCTAGTGGTTACATCTAGGGTTTCCAAGTGTGGCCGGGTTTTCGTGGCCCTGTCGTTATAGACAAAGGACACTTATTAAGAAAAGGGGTTGAGGAAGGAGAGGAGGAAGGCATATTTTATATAGAAAAAGGGAGGAGAAGGGAAGGGAGGATTATTAGTAGTTGTGGCACATTTTTTATTTCGCGTGCTTGTGCCCATTTGGCAAAGGCAATTTCAAAAGGGCAGAATATATCATTGTCTTCTTTCAATAATCGCCAGAAACAGTGATCTATTGCAGAACAAGTCGGGGTGGAAGTGGGAATCAGTTTAGTAAACAAAACCGCTCATTAGAAAAAATTAAAAGGAAAAATGACAGAAAGAAAGATAAACGAACAAAAGGCAGGTCTGCAACTTGGCAACATGCCAAAGCGACAGGTTTTGACGGTGAGTAAGGCGTGTGGAACGCCACTCTTGAGAAATAAAGGATATCCGAACGACAATGAACGTGACGTGTATGAGCTTAGACTGACGCATTGATTACACTCTGTTTGTTCCATATCTCTGTGTATGTGTACGGGAGGGTGGAAGGAAGGAGGGAGAGAGAGAGAGGAAGGGAGGGAGGGAGAGAGGGAGAGAGAGAGGGAAGTGTGGAAAATGGTATAGGTGTAACGCCCCTATCAACACTATTAGGTTATTTAAGGGGCGGGACCTCCTAGTTTAACTTCCGTCTCCGATAGGACCGAGCCAAGTGGGAAGTTCGTGCAAAGTGCCTTTCCAAAGGACACAACGTCAGACCGAGCTGAGGCTCGAACCCCCGAACTCGCAATCTCACTATTACGAGTCTGGTAGCCTAACTACTAGGCTACCGACGCCACTAGGGAAATGTGTGGAGAAACAAAAGAGAGAGACAGAGAGAGAGGGGGGGG